TCTTCTTGGATCAACTATCAACACTCATGGAAGCAGCAGTCAGGAAATCAAATGGCATATTGGATTAGGCAAATCTGCTGCACAAGCCCTTTTTAAAGTGTTGAAGAGCAAAGATGTCATCTTGAGGACGAAGGTGTGCCTGACCCAAGCCAATGGTATTTTTAATAACCTCATATGCATGTGAAAGTTAGACAGTAAATAAAGAAGACTGTAGAAGAATTGATGCTTTTGAGTTATGGTTTTGGAGGAAAATATTGAAAATGCCATGGGCTGCCAAAAGGAAAAACAGATCCTATAGGAAGAAGTGCAGCCAGAGTGCTCCTTGTAGGCCAAGATGGCCAAACTTTGTCTCTCATACTTCGGACATATTGTTAGGATGGACCAGTCGCTGGTGAAGGATATCATGTTTGGTAAGGTGGAGATTCAGAGAAAAAGAGGAAGATCCCCAGCGAGATGGCTTGACCAAGTGGCAGCATCAGTGGGCTCAAGCATGGCAACAGTAGTGAAGTTGTGTCAGGATCGGGCAGTGTTTTGTTCTGTGCATAAGGTCACTATGGGTCGGTACCGACTTGATGGCACCTAACAACAACAACAACATAGACAAAATATTAAATGATGCCAAAAGAATCAAAAGAAGATGAGAGAAATATTCATAGTAACTGAACCAGAAAGAAATAGCCGATGTTCAAGAAATGATACTGAAGGAAAAAGTGCAAGTTGTACTGAAAGCATTGGCAAAAACAAAATCCAGGAATTGACAGAATACAAATTGAAGTATTTCAACAAGCTGATGCAACACTGGAGGTGCTTACTGATCTATGCCAAGAAATTTGGAAGACAGCTAGCTACCTGGCTAACTGATTAGAAAATACCCATATTTGTGTTCATTCCAAAGAAAGATGACTCAACAGAATACAGAAATAATCAAACAATGTCATTAATATCACATATGGGTAAAATTTTGCAGAAGATAATTCAAAAGAAGTTACAATAGTATATTGACAGGGAGCTACCGGAAATTCAAACCAGATTTAGAAGAGGACATGGAACAAGCAATATCATTGCTGACATCAGATGGATCTTGACTGAAAGAAGCAACTACTAGAAAGATGTTTACTTGTGCTTTATTAATTATGCAAAGACATTCAACTGTATGAGTCATAACAAACTATGGATGGCATTGTGAAGAATGGGAATTCCAGAAGACTTCATTGTACTTATGAGTAATTTATATATAGACCAAGAACAGTTGTTCAAGTAGAACAAGGAGATAATGAATGGTTTAAATCCAGGAAAAGTATGTGTTAGGGTTGAATCCTTTTACCATACTTAGTCAGTCTGTATACTGAACACATAATCTGAGAAACTGGATTATTTGAAGACGAACATGGCATCAAATTTGGAGGATGACTCATTAACAGCCTGAAATGTACAGATGACACAACCTTGCTTGCTGAATGCACAGTGGAATACTAATGAAGATCAAAGCCTCTAGGATGAATTGGCTCTCAAAATAAAGAGTACGAAAGTTCTCACAATTGAACCAATAAACTATATCAGAGAAAAGATTGAAGCAGTAAGAAACTTCATTTTGCTTGGATTCACATCCACAGTCAATGTTTGTGGAATAGCAGTCAAGAAATTCAAGGGATTATTGCCTTAGGCAAGTCTGCTGCAAAAGATCTCTTTAAAGTTTTAAAGAGTAAACATGCCAGTTTGATGATTAAGGTATGCCTGATCATGTTATGGTATTTTCAATAGTCTCATATGTATTTGAAAGTTGGACAATACATAAGGAAGATCATAGAAGAATTGATGCATTTGAATTGTGGCATTGTCGAAGAATATTGAAAGTACCATAGACTTGTAGATCAAACCTGGGTTGGAAAAAGTATACAGCCAAATTGTTCCTTAGACAGGACAGTAGCCAGGCTTCATCTCTTGTATACTTTGGACGTGTTGTCAAGAAGGACCAGTAAAGTAAAATATTTGGTACAATGGAGGGTCAGTGAAAAAGAGGAAGGCCCCCAGTGACATGAATTGATCCAGTGGAAGTAACAATGGACTCAAACATAGCATTAATTGTGAGGATGATGCAGCACTGTGTATTGCTTCATTCCATTGTATATAGTGCTGCCACGAGTTAGAACTCTCTCTACGACACCTAACAACAACTGTACTCCTTTAAAAAATCATCTCTATGAGACCAAATTGTCGGGAGAAAGATGAGGCTTTCTACTCCCGTAAGGATTTACACCCTCGGAAACCCTGTACAGTGCCGACTCGACGGCACTTAACAACAACAACAACCACAAAGCAAAGATGAGAAGATAAGGGGGCAGGTAAACCAGATTAACGGAAATGAAACTATCAGAATAGAAATAATGATAATGTTGATACATTATGACAAATGTGTCCAATGTCACTGAACAATATGTATTGAAATTTTTAAGTAGGAATTTAATTTGTGGTGTAAACTTTCACCAAATAAGTAATAGGGAATTTTTTTTAAAAGTGGAATTATGAACTTCATGTCTAGTAGACTGCTAGAACACAGAAATGATTTAGTAAATATTCTGAATGAATTATACATAAGTAAATTAAGGGAGAGAAGGAGGATATTAAAAAGGAAACTAACTCTAAATTTTACAAAATATGAAGGCAAACATGACAAAATATCGTGATTCTAAGAGTCCCAGGCTAGAATTTAAGTTGCAGAAAATACTTCCAAACATCAGATTTCTCATTTGAAAAAGGAGGGCATTGAACCAGGTACTCAGAGATCTCTCTTCACTTTTATTTTTGTATCTCCCCTACTTCTTCCACAGAAATGTGCTCACTCTTACTCATCGTATCGGCAAACCCATAGCCCTTGCATCCCTGTACATAAATGTAGAACTGATAGCCCTGGGGACCAGGGAACAACCCAGAAAGGAGCTCCTCTGGCTTTGCACCCTCCCCACCTTCACACAGAACCTTAACATCTGTGCTGGCTTTGTGGAGTCTTTGCAGTCCAGGCAAATTCCCATCAAGCAGGTCCCTAGAGGGTCTCATTTTATAAACAAGATTTCAAGTAAGAATGGTTCATTTCATGCACATATGTTGACCAACCCCACTGTTGTTCTTCTGGCTAGTCCCTACTGCTCATCACAAAGGGAAATCAGTTGCCTTTGAATCAACTCTAACTCATGGCCACCCATATGTGTCTGAGTACAACTGTGCTCCATAGGGTTGGCAAGTCTTTCTTTCTTGGGGTATAATTAATTCTCCAGTCTTTTTGGTTGCCAGCTGAGAATATGAACTGTTTACACTCCACAGAGACTGCATCACAAAGAAGGGGGAACAATTAGTGGGGAAGCCACACTGAAAAATAAAAAAAATCATGTGTGAAAACACTGTACCACAGCCTTACCTCTCAGGTTTTCACATATTAACCACTTTTGCACTCACTCTTCTGCAGGACTGAGGATCCAGAGTCTGCCTTCATCAACCCCCTGGCCTATTTCTCTTCCTGCAAAAATTACTTCACTGACATCCGTCTGGACTACCTCTCCACAAAACACTGCTGAAGCCACCGCCTCCCCTACCAGTGGCAACCACAGTAACTCACTACTACCAGTGACATCATCAACCCAAACATCGCCACTTCCCAAAAATAATTCCATAGATCACCAAGAGGAGGAGGTCACCAAGCCAGCTTCAGATTGGGAAGACACAAGCACAGGCCCTTCACCTCCTGAGTTCTCACCAACAAGTGGTGGAGTCCTCTTAACATCCTCACCTACAGAGCACAACTTGAGCACTTCTGAAACAAGTGTGCAACCTACAGGGTCCCAGTTACCCACAGAGTCTCCCACACTCATCTCCTCTCAGGCTCCAGCTTCCTCACCCTCATTCTTACCAACCTCACCTCCTGAGGTTCCTTCTGCTTCCATCACCACTGACCACAGCTCAACTGTGACCACAACCAAGACCCCAGGAACCTTGACCCCATCAGAGTCCCCAACAGAGGAGCACAACTCTGGCCACAAACCCACTTCACATGCCACTACTGGGCCCATGACCAAGGAGACAACAATCCAAGCAACTGTGTCCACCAGGGTAACCTGTGAGCTGATAGACATCGAGATCACCACTGCTTCCCCGGGGGTGATCATGGAGGAAGTAGAACATGCATTAAGCTCAGGTGAGTCTATATCTAGAACACTAGTGTTGTTGACTCTTCTGAGATGCTAAGAAGGCAGTTTGGCCAAACACAATGGATTAAGTTTGATTTGTAGACTATAACATCTGAGATGAATTTAATTCTACAAGAGTACAAGTTTTATGGTCATTTAACAAATTCTACATGATATTTATCATGCCCAATTAATGAATCAATGAATTAAATAAGTATGGTTTATCTTTATAAAATGCTGTGCACAGAAAATGTATACTAAAGTGATTAACACCATGGTTTTTGGTCAAGCTCCCTAGGTTTAAATTCTGACTCCTGACCTTGCCTAAATTATTTAATCTCTGTGTGTCTTTATTTTTCTTCATCCGTGAATGGAGATGAAATAGGCTTTACCACATAAAGCTCTTGTGAATGAGCTGGTGCATCAAATACTTAGAACAGTACTTGACAAGGAATACATGCTCAGAAAATGTCAGTTATACCTGCTTTCGAGTCTGTTGGTGGCACAAATAGTTAAGTGCTCAACTATTACCCAAAAGATTGATAGTACAAATCTACCCAGGTGCATCTCAGAAGACAGGTAGTGTGAACTCTTTCTTAAAGGTTGGGAGCACACATGGTGTCACCATGAGTTGGAACTGATTTGATGACAACTAGTTAATTAAAGGAGTGCTTACTTCATGGAAGCCAGTCAAAGAATCTAGAGTGGGCTGGAGAGAATGTGCTTATTCTTTGCTGTCACTGTTATAGTTCATGGGAAAGATAATAAATTGTTTTTATTCTTCCAGAAACCCTATATAATTAGTATCAGTTTTACCTTAATTTTCAAGTTATGGAGAGAGATTTAGGGCATTTTCTGAGGCTCCATGTACTTGATGTTGATGTGAAGACTAGAAATTTTCATTTATTGGAAAGGAAAAATTTTTAGTGACAGCATTTTGTTTCTTTCTTGAGGACCAGTGAGATGAGAAAAGACATAAGGAAAATGAGGGAAACTGAGGTGTGCCCCTTTCACTGGAGAGTTTTGCTAGGGATATGGACTGAGATCAAAATATTCAGGACAGACCTACATGTGGTCTACCACTGTCGAGGAAATAGCTGTCAAATGGCTGTTGCTGAGAAGAAATTGTTGTTAGGTACTGTTGAGTCTGTTCTGATGCGTAGGGACTCGTATGTACAACAGAATGAAACACGGCCTAGTCCTGTGCCATCCCCACAACCATTGCTATGTTGGACCCCAGTGTTCAGCCACTGTGTCAGTCTAGCTCACTGAGGCTCTTCCTCTTTTTCACTGTCTACTTTTTTAATGAAACACACACACATGATTGATGGTTCAGTCTACTCCAAGTTATGGAGACTGTGTGTGCTCATTGGCAGGTTTTTCTTTCAAGGCACTCCTAGGTGGGTTTGTCACATGTACCCCGGTCCCCACCTCCAGGAATCTGAAGAATCAGACTCAGCTGGTGTCGTCGCTTCTCAAGGATGGAAGTATACTGGGCATTCACTCATAAGATTTATTGGAAAGAGAGAGTATATTTCAGAGAAAGAGAAGCAGGTCTGTCTCCGAAAGTGGAGGAGATCTGACCCTCTACTTTTTCAAGCATGATATCCATGATATCCCTCTTTAAAGACTGATCTTTCTTGATATCATGTCCACAGTATGTAAGATAAAGTCTTGTCATCCTCGCTTTTAAGGAGCTTTCTGTCTGTACTTCTTCCAAGACAGATTTTTCATTCTTCTGGCAGCCCATGCTATATTTAATATTCTTTGCCAACACCATAATTCAAAGGTGTCCATGCTTCTTCTGTCTTCTTTATTCATTATCCAGCTTTTTCATGCATTTGAAGAGATTGAAAATATCATGATTTGGGTCAAGTGAACCATAAGTTTTTACAGGCATAAGCATTGGTCTCCTGGGGAGTAGCTGGTTGGTTCAATCCTCCAATCCTGTGGTTAGCAGCCCAGTGCTTATTCTATGGCGCCACTGGGAATTCTGATAAAAATGCTCTCAAAGTACAGACTTGCGGGCATTGAGACTCCATACACAAACAATTCATCTCTTCTCCTTTTCCTGGATGAAGTCCTCCTCCACACTTAGTTGAGCCATTTCTTCAGTTTTCTAACTAGTGCCCTGCCCTGCCCTCTCTATCCTTCCCAGGATTCCCTAGACATTGTGTAATAGTAGTAATTCCTGAGCACATCATCCAGCACCACCTACTCCTTGGACTAGATAATCTAAAACAGTCCAGTTCCAAAAGTCATGTGTCTTGATTTCTTTAACTCTAAATCAGTAGGCTCAATAAGCAAAATAATTAATAATAATAATGATAATAATAATAATAATAATAATAGTGGCAGAATTGGGTCCTGAACCTTCACAACCAACCAGCCATTTGTTGTTGGGTCAATTCTGACTCATGCAACCCCTTAGGTATCAAAGTAGAACTGTGCTCTGTAGGTTTTCTAATGACTGAATTTTCAGAAGTATATCATTAGACCTTTCTAATAAGGCATCTCTGGATGGACTTGAACCTCCAACTTTTCTTTTAGCAGCTTTTTACACCACATAGGAACTTTGTGTGCCATTTTTTTGTACCATGTAGGGACTCAGAACCTTCATAAATCTGAGGAATATTTTGCACAGTGGGAGCACTACAATAAATGAATGAAAAAAAAATTATTGAACAATTGGAGTAAAGACTAGTTGTGCTAGTTTAGAGGGAGACCATTGTGTTTGGGCTTGTGTATATTTCATTTCAATGTACATCTCCCTTATAATCTAGCACATCAAAAATATTTATTTTTGCATCAAAAATTTAAAAAAAAAAACTTATTTTTGCAAGATCATGTTCTTGATGCAAGGAAGTATACGATCTGCATTCTGAGATTTTATAGTTTACATTAAAAAGGCACCTGCACCAATAAATCTTAATACTACTTGTTAGTTTCTACTCTGAGCATGAACCAAGGTGGGTAGAACTATCTTTGAGATGATGTGCTACAATCTGCTCATTTCTTAGATGAGGAAATTACGCTACAGAAGTGCCTCCGTCACCCAAGGGCACACTGTTCAGTGCCAGCTGGGCCCAGAGCCCAGATCCCCTAAACCACAATCAAGCCCTCTTTTCAACATCCAGTAAGGCTACACTGCTCTTTTCTTGGCCCAGAAGATTAAGCAGTGCCCATGACTTTGTGTTTACAAGTTACTATTTTAGGATGTTCTTGTTTAAAGATACTTGTCCTGCCTTTAGTAGTAGCAGATATTTTTGAGGGGGGTGGGGAAAAGTAGTACTATTAATACCTCCCTTGTATATGTGCTTTGCCACATTCTGTGTGGGTTCTCAGTAGCATGTTTCTATTAAACCTTATAAGGACTCCTCCATTCAATAAATATCTATCCATACATCAAAAATCAATACCACTATCATTGAGTCAGTTTCAACTCACAGCAACCCTATAGGTCAGAATAGAACTGCTCCAAAGGGTTTTGGAGACTGCGAATCTTTACAGTAACAGAAAGCCTCATCTTTCTCCCTGGGGGTGGCTGGTGAGTTTGGACTGCCAGTTATGTGGTTAGCAGCCCAACATTTAGCCCAATATGTCTAAAACAAAGTAAATGCTATCAGAATTAAACTTGATAGAAAGGATTCAGAAGCTTCTATGATGGAGTGGCACATGAGCCAGACTGTAGGTGATGAAAAATTGGATAATGCAGCTGACTTTGGTGTGGGACATACCTGGGTTTGGAACAATGTCCTCTCACTCAGAGGTTTGACACACTGAAATTGCTCTTGTCAAGGAACCCAGTGCTCTCCACATTGCAAAGTCTAGTGCTTAATTCTTGGACCTGATTTTCCCTGCCCTATCAGCAGCATTTGACCCAGAAGACCACTGCCATCATCTTTAAAGACATCTCCACTTGACTTCCAGGGCAGTGTCTCTGGTTCTTCACTTACCTCACTAGATGCTCTGACTTCTCAGTCTCTTTTGGTTTGCTTCATCTTCCTTTCTCTACAGGGCAATACTAGCCTTCCTCTCTCCCCATCTCTTCACAATCACTCTTCCCTCACTCTCCTTTTCCCTCCACACTTACTCCCAAGGTGATCTTATCCAGCCTCATGGTTTAAATGCTGTGCTTACAAGGTTGGCTCTCAGATTAAAAATGCATTCCCTCAGTCTTTCTCTCTCTAACTGCATGTGTCTCCAGCTGCCAACTAACTCATAATCTGCACTTGGATGGTTCATAGGCATCTCAAATTAATACAGATAAAATGAATTGCTGATTTCCCTGACCAGCTCTTAGTTGGCACCTCCCTCAGCCTTTCCTCTCTCTGTTTTTCGGTTCTTCAGGCCAAAAATCTTAAACTAACCCAGGGCTCCTTTCTGTCTCATACTTCACAGCCAGTCAATCCAAGCTCAATCTCTTCTTGTCTCCTCCATCATCTCTCACATATTTTATTTCAAAGTTCCTATAGCTGATCTCTCTATTTCCATCCTTTAAGGGAAGGTCCCTTTAAACCCCAAGACACTCCTCTACTCTTGCCTACCAGTTGCTTCCCATTTGAGTCAGAATAAAAGCCAAAGTTTGTATCATGCCTACAATGGTCTGCCTGTTCTGGCTTCCCACAACCTTTCTGCTCTTACCTTCTCACACTTTCACTGTTAAATACACTGATAGTCTTGCTATTTCTTAAACACACCGAAAACACTGATTCCATAGGTCTTTTGCACTTACTGTACCTGCACATCTTTAATTGATGACACTTTTTCATCAGTCAGGATTCCCTCCTCAGCCAGCCCTTAACACACATCCTTATCGAAAATAGCTAATCAGCCCCTCTTCAAGTTTTGATCACTTAATGCTTCCTGGCATCATTTCATTTATTTCTTGTTTGTCTATATGCTGTCTTTTACATTCCATAAACTAACTCCATGAAAACAAGGACATCCTTTACAAGGAAGATGTAGCTTATATCTCCAACCCCTAGAACAGAGCCTGGAATGCAGT